TCTGCTGCAGAGGTGTAGGTGTTCACATTTCCATTTCTTTTATGGAGCACTTAATCGACTTCTAGTCCATGTTGGCTCAAAAGCTAAGGTTCAAAGCCACGTCTTTGCATTAGATGTACTTGCTGTTCTGGAGTGTTCAGGCATAATCTTAAAGTTCCCATTCAGACGCTGATAAAGCCTCCAAAAACTCATCCCCAAGTTAATCCGAGAAAATAATCCCTTCCTACCTTAGGATGTCTCACATGTACCACTGCGCTGTTGCTTCCTCTAAAACATGCAGATACATGAAGTCCCTGCTGCTTTTCTTTTTTTTAGTTGTTGCAGCTCGAGCACACCAGCTCACCTTAAACACTGTAAAAGTACTGCAACATAATGGGAAGTTGTAATACGACATGGTGCAGAAAGTTTGTTCTTTAGATTTGGTCTAGATGAAACCCTGTCGGTCTGAATCTGTGTTTTTGAGGTCGTCATCGATACTCTGCAGCTTTCCTCAATTATTTCATCTTATTTTACAAATGAGAAGGTTTAAAAAAAAAACAACAACAAAGAAATCCATCATTAACACGTCTAACACATCTTACTGTCTCGGACACGCCGCCGTCTAACGCGCTGACCTTCCTCATTAATTCTCTCACTCATCCGTTCCCGTTTCCAGTAAAACTCCACCTTCAGCTCTTCCCTGAGTGACTCCACGCAGCTCAGTTCGATATTTATTGTCCCCCGAAGATGTATACGGTTTGCAGATGGAGTTAACAATAAAATAATGAAATAGAAATGCACAATAAAAAGGCGTAGTAGGAATGCAATAAAATACAGGAACATGAGGAAAAATCACTAAAACCAACCAAGAGTTTTATGCCACACAGACAGAGACGATAAAACCCTGCAGGGAGTCAATACCTGAAATACTGCAATATATTAAAAAAAAAAAAAACTGTTATCAGTGCTGCAACCGGAATGAATCGGTGGGAGCACTTATGACTGACAGTAATAAGGTTTACTAACAACTTTATTCACCATTTAGAGGAAGTTTAGGTGTTTCTCCTGCAGTGAGTGAATAATGGGGCAGCTAGTTAAAGAGAAAACTCCTCCTGGAAACCGTTTCCGCTGCTGATAAATACCTCCGTTTTATTATTTATTTATTATTTTGGCCCGTCTTCTCGTTTGGTGTTGTGTTTCCCCGTGAATAACTTCAGATATTAGGAGATATTTCCAGTGCAGCTAAGATATCTAAAGTTAAAAAGCACCCAAAAAAAGTTGTGGTGGCAAAAAAAAAATCAGCTATCTGAAACATCAACAGACGGCTAAACATCCCGGTTTGGTGTCGGTCCCTCGGGATTATCGAGCAAAGCGCTTCCTTTCTACACTCTTCATTCTGCACAGACTTTCAACCGTCACACGGGGAGAAAGAAATCCACCAAGAGAGGAGGAATTCACAACAATCTCTCCACCGACAGTCGCCTCCAGGGACCGGAGTACAATGAATCCGGCAGACGAGTTGTGTTATCAGTAAAAGGAAACGATTCCCACCGTTTCCCGGATGAAAAAAGCCTGTTTCCCTGCTGTCACGATCACTCCAGCTCCTGCTACTGCTCATTACCTGAACGTGCAGCACACAGCTAAATGCTTTACACCTGAGAAATCATAAAGCAAATCTAGACAAGGCGGGTTAAGGGGAGGAAAAAAAAAAGGAGCTAAAATAAGTGGTGGATTGAGAGGAGCATCGGCGGCTGATGGGATCTCAGCGGTGTGCGGAGAAAAGGCCACTGAGGTGATGGGTGGTCTGAGTCTTTATGCAGCACTGCACTCTTTTTCCATCTACAGTGAAGTTTTATTTCTTCCTCTCGGTGCAGCCTGGATGGGCCTGGTTGGAGGTAATCTTTCCTGCCCTTTTTTTCTTCGCCCCCGGTGTCGTGCAGCTCCTTGACGGCGAGCAGCTGACAGCCGATGACCTGCTCAGCAGTCAGCGGCGCAATACAAGGTGCTGCAGTTTGTCCTTGGAAGCAGGAGGAGGCCGAGGAGAGCCTGAATACCGGGACGCTTTCGATTATTGCCTCGGAAAAATTGGACTGGGATAGGTTGTGCCGGTGTCAAGTTTTCTCAGAAAGAAGATCGACTGTTGTGCTTTGCTAATTAGGCGGGAAACGTTCTCTTTCCATCTGCGGGCTTTCGGTGCATCGAGGTGGAGTTTGTGTGTGTGTGACATGGATGCCCTCTGCAGAAAAAGATCGATGTTTGTATGAATATGAAGAAGGTGGTTACAGGGAAAAAATGTTCTTGCAGCAGATATAGTGATTTATTACAGACTCACAAAGATCTTCACAGAGAACGAAACTGAGATAATGTTTGCTGGAGGCAACATTATCCACCTCAAACTCCAGCCCTCAGCCACGCTCGGCTCGTCGTGTCAGTCCAGGTTATTATACACACACGTTCACCAGCTGCGCCGTGCATCATAAACATGGTATAAATAAATATCTGCACATCGCATGAAGTGGAGTAAAGTCGCAGAGAGGATGCTAACACATGGCCTGATAACACAAGGATGCTGCTACCAGAGTAAATTCATTGTCTCACCCCGGGACTCATTAAAGCTCACTACTCGCGCTGCCATTATGTGGGAACCCAAACGAAATAAATGTTGTCCTGAACCCTCAAAAAAAACCCAACTCATTAAAAGACACAAGAGCCAAGAGGAGCCCCTAAAGAAGCAGACGTGTGTGACCCATTTTGGCCGTGGTTTAGGAAGGCCGCACATGTCAAACGCGCCAAATGAAATCGCATTAGCAACTTAAGTGAAATCTAATTAAATTAGGTTGATTCGGCAGCTGAAGCGGTAAAACTCCTGCTGGTTGGCTCGTCGCCCTGCAGCCGTGACGCCGCCGCCGCCACCGCCTGCCTCTGGTCACAAAAGGGGGTTTTCTTCTTCGTAGGAGTTCAAACAACCCCCACGTCCAGGATTAGCATATCCAACACTTCATCCAATGCTCGGTCAATAAACGTCCTACCAGGGGCGTCTTAATTGACTCGTGCTCTAATCAAACTATTAAAAGGAGGAAAATGCTAATAAAACAGTCGTATGTTCACTGGCCAGATGGTGGCTCTCCAACAACCCTTTTTATGCACCACCTCTCACATAAACACTCAACTGCTCCTAAATCATCTCCAACTTTCTGATTTTTTTTTTAACTAACTTGTCCTCCGCCGACACGAGTCTGGAAAAAATAAAGTGCAAAGAAAAGCAAGATCTTAATTAAACTCGACAGTGACAGCAGCCTGATTTTCTCAGCTCACCTCCGCAGACAGTGTTTTAAAGATTTTTGCACGCACTTCTTTAATAATCACTGACTCATAACTGCTTATTGCAAATCTGTTTCATCCAAATGCAATCAGACTTTTCCAATATATCTCGTCAGTATTTATGTTCTCGTTCTGGTATCGGGTCTTTGCTCTCTAAGGATGCATGCTGGAATTTTGATTATACTTGACCAGCCAGAGCCTCTCTGATGTGCTGCTGGAACAAACTGCAACACTGACACCTGATGGCTAAACTATGAAACTGCAAAGACATGACCACTCTGAGATGAACCCCTTTGAAAAGTACATCATTGATCTTCCCCTTATTCTAATGCTATATAATATGCCTGGGTTGTAATAATAATAATAATAATAATAATAATAATAATAATAAATAGGTCTTCATTCAGTTTTTGTCTGACCAGTTGTCATAAACCCAAAGATGCTGAGTTTACTACTAATACTACTATAAGCCTACTCCTCCTACTGCTAAAAGTTACCTGTGCAACTACTATTAGCCTACTCCTCATCCTTCAACTACTACTACTAGCTAGTAGTGTTGCTACTTCTACTCCTAGTTCTCCGCAAACTACTACTACTGGCTACTAGAGTTACTGCTACAAGCCTACTGTTTGTACTGCTACAAGTTACCAGTGCTACTGCTACTAGCCTACCTCTTGTACGACGGCGACTACTACTACTAGTGCTACAACTACTAGCCTATCCCCACTACTATTGCTAGCTATTAGTGCTTCTACAGCTAGCCACTCCTCCTAATATTGCAAGTGCTGCTAGTTATTTACTATCTACTACTGTTATCCTGCTTTTGCTTGTACTACTAGCTACTAGTGCTATTACTTCTTCTAGTACTACTAGCTAGTAGTGCTACAACTACTATTAGCTTAGTCCTCCCCTACCACTTTTAGATACTTCTACTACGACAACAAGCTTGCTTCTTTTACTACAACTAGCTACTAGTGCTACAGCTACTACTAGCTTACTCTGTCTCCAACCACTACTAGATAGTACTACTACTACAACAAGCTTACTTCTTGTAGTACTACTAGCTACTAGTGCTACAGCTAATATTAGCTCCGTCCTCCTCCTACTACTAGATACTACTTCGACAACAAGCTTACTTCTTGTACTACTACTAGCTAGTAGTGCTACAACTACTATTAGCTTACTCCTCCCCCTACCACTAGATACTACTTTGACAACAAGCTCACTTCTTCTACTACTACTACTAGCTAGTAATGCTACTGCTACTGTAAGCCTGCTCTTACTACAACTACTATTTGCTGCTTTTGCTGCTACTACTATCCAATGCCCAGTACTATCACTAACAACTAGTGCTACTACTGCAAGCATAGTCCTCCTCTTACTACTACTACTACTACTACTACTACTACTAGCTTATGGTGCTACTACTACTATTAGCCTATTAGTCGAATGTAGTGTAGTGCCTCAGGATGCTAAAAGAAATAAAAGAATATTTCTTAAAATGTAAAAAGCTAAACATTTAATGTAACACTTTAATTATTCGATACTCCATCAACCATACAGACATCATTATTAGCAGGTTTTAGTTGTTTACTTTTAGGTAACTGGTTAACTTATCTCTGGGTAGACTACAGTACCCGTCATGCCCTTCGGCGTGCGTGATGACGTAATAGAACATCAACAACTCACATGTGGCCTAGAAGGCGCCGTTGCTGTGCCGTGTTAGCAACAACTGGGCAGACTTCCCAGCCGAAACTCCCCGTTACACACACATTACACAGCTCCACGGGTTCTGTCCACAGCTAGAGCTGAGCCAACATGCCTCCGAAGAAACCCGCTCCGGCCACGGGAAATAAAAAAACTCAAGAGAAGAAAAAGGAGAAGATTATTGAGGTAACATCACACGAGTTAGCATGTCGGCGTTTAGCGTTAGCTCACCAGCTAATGCGCCGCTAACCGAAGCCAACACAAGTGCCGACAAGTGAACGACAAAGTTATTTTGGCCTCTGGACAGCCGTCAGTAACTATTCAGTGTTCATTTTAATCAGATAAATCTTTTTCTGCTGGCTCTAATTCAGTTTTAAGCGAGCAAACCAGGTGTCATCCGGCTAATTCTGATTAATGTAGCTTCAAGAAGCGGCCGAGATGCTAGCAGGGATGCTAGCAGGGCCGCGCCGCCGCAGCTGGGGTTCATACTCGATCTAGTTAACTTTTAAACGTCCCTAAAGTCATCAGATTATATTAGCAACCTCAACATAACACGTTTGTATTGTTTAATAAGACTAGGTTGGTTGTTTTGTTGCGGGACACATGGAGGCGGTGCGGAGGCCTGTTTCTGACCAGCCGCTCTGGACTGACGATTAACACGTCAGAGACAGTTTTATTGTCAAAAAGCCAAACAGAAGAAAAGTTAGTTTGTTTTTCCAACTAATTCAGTGTAATTTAGAATATGACAGTACGTTTATTATCAGCGTCGTTTACTGTTAGCAGCTGTTAAATCTACCAGCCATAAAATCTACTCAGCATACTTGTGTCAACGTGACCACAGAGTTCTTGTGTTTCCCTCAGAGGCTGTTGGGTTAAGGCTAGGCAGAGATAACTAGTAGGTTAAGATTAGAGGAAGCAGACCTAACCAGCACCTGCTTGTGAGAGGACAGATATAAGTTAGATCCACGTTAAAGGTGACAGGACTCTGCCCTCCACAGAGTTATAAATCTGTTCATCACTTACTGACTTTACATCATGTGACCGAACTGTGATGATTCATTGATTTGTTGTCAACTACTGAATTAAATTGGATAATTGGTTTATTAGCTCGAGCTAAATTCTTTGATTGCAGCTTCTTATACCTAAACATGTTCTGGTTTCTTTGCTTTTCGATGACAGTAAACTGAATATGTTTGGGTTGTAGATGAAACAAGACATTTAATGGTGTAATGTTTTTGGGAAACGCTCGTCAACATTTGTTATCACTTTCTGACATTTTGTAGGCCTATAAACTAATCAGCTGTTTGAGAACGTGAAAGTAATAGTGAGTTGCAGCCTGATTATGGCACTTACATTGTCTGTTTGTCCATGAAGAGACCAACACCGATAATAAATAGTGTTTCTTTTTTAAGTACAGCCTCCGAACCTGAGATGAGAAAGACAGCGATGAGGCAGACATTAGACTATTAGTTGTGTTTGAGTAACATATGTTTAAAAGAACCATAGTGCCCAGCTGATTCAGTAAAGATTTGACCCTTTTAAAAAGAAATGTACTTATCTCCTATATTTTCAGGAGGAACCAAGCCAGTGTAGTTCAGTCAGAAAAGCAAAATAAACTGAAAGACAGACCAACACAGTGCTGTGAAGCTACCATGTTCTTTAATGTTATGAACCAGTTTTATTACATTAAGCGTCTTTGGCAGTCTTTAAAAGCACATTCTGCGTATTATTATTACACTGTCATGGCAGATTTTTTAAAAAAGATTCTGTCAATTTTTGCTAAATTAGAAATGATACAAACCTTTTTGTGTTGAGTCCAGACAGATCCAGCAGGAAGACAGCGGCCAAATCTGACTTATTTTAGGTTTTATCCGTCTTATTACAGACTTGATCAGCTGTTGAGGCAAAGTTTGGTTTTCTGAAATCACTCACAACCCACATGTGTTAATATAACCAAAGAAAACAGCTGATTTGATCAGACTGGAGGCAGGAATACAGTAATTTCTTAATGCTTTGCAGAGATGGTCAGTTATCAAGCACACACATGTACTTGAAGTTTGTGTAATCAGGAAGACGGTATCAGACTGGGACTCGTATTGGCAGATGCTCAATATTAAATGACTCAGAATGGATCAGGGGCAACAAAACGTGATGATTGGTTTGTTAACGCGGTTCGTTCAAAATGCTGCCTGGAATTTTAATGCAAACTGAATTACAATGATTTATGATTTTGGATTCACAGCCAAAGAGTTCTTGATGCTTGTATCACAACTGTCAGCTTTGATCTGAAACTGTCCAAATTTACAGAGTATACAAAGGAGCCTTCAGCTATGTGCCTTCTCAGGTGGATCAGCTGCATCTCAATCAATGAAAATAAGGGCAGGAACTAAATCTTGTTCAGCCATAAGTGCTTCCTCTGTGGACACTTATTGGACGTTAATGATGAAAGTGACGTTTCATCGTTCTGTTTTCTTTTAGGACAAGACATTTGGCTTGAAGAACAAAAAAGGGGCCAAACAGCAGAAGTTCATCAAGAACGTCACTCAGCAAGTCAAATATGGACAGCAAAGCGCCAGACAGGTGATCAGGAAGCCTCTGTTTTCTGTCTCCATCTGTCTTCTCATCGTACTTATTCCCTACTTTAAATATGTGGGCGCTAACCTGATTGGATCTGACCATCTTTTCAACATTTCTGTGTGTGTTTCTGTTGAGGTTGCTCAGGCTGAAGCAGACAAGACGAATAAGAAGGCTGACAAAAAGAAGGAGCTGGACGAGCTCAACGAGCTTTTTAAACCCGTAGTCGCTGCCCAGAAAGTCAGCAAAGGTACCGGAGAAACAGGAGATGAATCGGTTCTGTTACGGTTTCTTCATCTTCCATTTTAGTTGTTCATCATTTAAAAATGCGAAACATTTACCAGAGCAGATCATTTAATCGTCCCTTTTGTTTTTCTGCAGGTGTCGATCCAAAGTCGGTGCTGTGTGCGTTCTTTAAACAAGGCCACTGCGCTAAAGGAGACAAGTGCAAGTTCAGCCACGACTTGTCCATGGAGAGGAAATGTGAGAAGAGAAGCGTCTACGTGGACGAAAGAGATGAAGACCTGGAGAAAGGTCGGTTCAGTGCAGACCTTTACCTCTTCATGTTGTGGAGCTGTGGACTGCAGGCTCAGAAAAACAAGGAAGCAGTTTAGGGAATTTCTTTCTTTTTTTTTTGTTTTTACAATCACATAGATCTTACTTCTACTTTCTGGTGGCTCTGTTTTTGTTTTTTTTTTCTTTTATAGTGTTTATTTTAAAGGGTTTTGTTCTGCTTTAGTCAAACAAGAAAGACGGTAAAAGATAATCTGACACCTAAAACTTAAGAGCGAACTGGAAATCCATCTCTGTACGAGCACCAAGCCTCCATCGTCACCAATACGTTTTAATTTCAACCGTCTGAACCCCAAAACCTGCAAACGGGTCCAAAAGGGACGTCAGTTTTTAAAACGTTGCCAAAATTACTGCATTTATCAGAGCAAGAAAATGTAAAAACAAAACGGATTTCATGTTTGGCTCCATCAGTAATAAAATTATAATACTTCATCAAACTACATTTCATTTAAAAATTCACCAAAAACGTACTATTGTCCTGAACCAGATTCTGTAAAAAATGAACAATTCTGTGGTCATCGGGGCAACTGTGACGTTATGACCGACTCAACTGTAATCAGCAGTGATGTGACAAAAATTCAGGGACTTTATCGGCTGAACTGTGAGACAAGTATGGAAACTAGTTCAAAATGTAAATAGTGGAATATCTGTAGTATGTCGAGCCAGCATTGACACCCTTTGGTGCAGGTGGGTACATGTTGACTCCCAAGTTTTTAAAAAATTTTTGTAAAACAAATTAAGTAAATTTAGCGTTTGTTCTTTTTTCATGATTTATGGAGGAAACTAGACGCCTGTTGGCATCACAAGTCACAAAAACATGAGTGTTTGTGCAGTGCAGGGAAGCATTTTGTAAATTTTTATAGTTTTTTGCTTTCTGTGCGCCACCTGCTCACGTCCTCTGGGTTCTGTCGGGTTTCGTTCAGACACTATGGAGAACTGGGACGAGAAGAAGCTGGAAGAGGTGGTCAACAAAAAACACGGAGAGGCTGAGAAGAAGAAAGCCAAAACAGCAATCGTGAGTGTGTTTTAGGACGAAATGAATGAATGAAAAATAGAAAGAGTTCAGGACGTATGGAAGCGATGAACGAATGATTGTCGACTAAATACGGTCAGAATCCAGGACCTGGTCCGATCGTCTGCTGTGTTTGTGTGCAGGTGTGTAAGTACTTCCTGGAGGCCATAGAGAATAATAAGTACGGCTGGTTCTGGGTGTGTCCTGCGGGGGGCGACACCTGCATCTACCGACACGCTCTGCCGCCAGGATTCGTGCTGAAAAAGGACAAGAAGAAGGAGGAGAAGGAGGAGGAGATCTCGCTGGAGGAGCTGATAGAGAACGAGGTGAGAAGCAGCAGCGACGGGAAGTCCGACGTTCAGACGTTCACATTTAAATAAACGACGCTCTGGTTTCCTGCTAAAATACAAATTCGCATTCAAATAAGACTTTGAGAGCATCAGGGGTAGAAAACGTCTCACTGGCTGAACATCTGCTCATCAGTAGACGCTACAGTTTCCAGATGTTCCCTGAATGCCTCCCATGCAGCTCCAGGAGAAGCTTCTAGTCTCCATCAGTTACTGCAGAGAGACCAAACGTTAGCTTGAAGTCAGTTGTTGATGTTTGTTGAGCTCGATTTCGGTGAAGTTGCTGCTTTAGATGTCAGATCATGTGAACTGGGTTTCTGCTGCGCCTCAAACTGCTGTTAAATATACAGAATAAACTAAATCAAGTTCATAATCTAAACCTGTGACCAGATTATCAACGTGTGAATTATAGTTACAAGTAGATTCAGTCTGAGATGGATTCATTTAAAGCCTCTAAAACTGATTTGATCCTGTTTTCTGTCTCGTTTTAACGTCCGTGTTTCTCTCCAGCGATCGGCTTTGGGTGCAAACGTGACTCGGATCACTCTGGAGACTTTCCTGGCCTGGAAGAAGAGGAAAAGGCAGGAAAAGGTTCGAACAAACTCTTTACTAGACGGCAGCAGGAGCCAGTTTTATCCCACGACTAAATCTAAACCTTGACTCTGCTGTGGATGTGAGCTGTAACTGTCCCCCTTGTGCTGCTGGCGGTGAACAGGTGGACAAAGCGAGGGAGGAGATGGAGAAGAAGAAGGCCGACTTCAAGGCTGGAAAGTCGCTAGTGGTGAGTGCAGCTGTCGAGCCTCCTCTCAGGTTTCAGTTTAATCACCTCCTTCGCTGATTTAATCAAACCTCACGCGTGTGCAGGTGAGCGGCCGCGAGGTGTTCGAGTTCCGTCCGGAGCTGGTGGACGACGACGACGACGAGGCCGACGACACCCGATACGCCAACGAAGAGGACGAGAGCGACGAAGAGGAGGTATTTATGAAGCCATCAGCGCGGCTTGATGAAAAACCTGCTTCAGTTTGTCTTCATATTGATTCCAGAAGCGAGACGTCCCAGAACAATAACGCTGTGTCTGGCGTCTCATATAGTTTGCATCGTCGGTACTAAATATAAATCGCACAGCAGCGTTGTAGCGGCGGCTCTCACGTTTCGGTGGCTGTTGTCGGGCAGTTTGCTGATCGAGGTAACTTCAGGTCAAACTTTTGAGGACGTCGTAACCGAAACACCTGATCGAGACCAGAGATCAATAACAACACCTCATTAACTGATCGGTTGTTTATAGCAGAACCGAATGGAAACGGTTTCAGAGCTGCCGTTTGGTTTATCGGCTCGTATACGGAACGTCAATACGAACCTAAAACAGACCGAAGCACTAAAACCCAAAACTTCTCCACATCGAAGTGTCTTCTCATATCTGTTCTTTATTAGCTCCCAAAACTGTTTAATATCTCCAGGAAACTAAAATAGTAAAACTGTCTGACACACTAAAAATACCACCACAGAAATAGTTTAATTTATGACCTGATTATTTATTCTGTGAGCAGCTTTAATCAGCTACGTCTGTAAAGTCCTCACACAGTCCTGTAATAAACAAGAAACCTGAATCTGAGGGACATAACAGCCACTCAGATATTAACGGTTGGATTCTGTTGTTGTTTTACTTCCTGTTTTTTGTTGCTTTCAGCTTCTATTCAGGTTCAAACTCCTCATTTTGGTTTCGGATTAGAGTTTGTTCTTCTTGTGGCTCCAGACCTGTTCACGTGGTCTTTGACATATTAAAATACGAGTGTTTAGACATTTTTAATTCAGCGAACGCAGGCGACAACAGGACCTCTGTGAAATGACGCAGATTAATCCTTTAAACAAAATGTAGTATCATTTAAGTGAAAGTAAAAACGAGATTTAGCACCAAACAGGAGCTAAAGTCCAGATTCAACACATAAATTTACCAATAACAGCAGAAACTAGACCAGCAGCTCCACATCTCCACCACATTTATGTTATATATTATTAGCTGTTTGTGGTTTGTACCTGTTAAACACTGATTGTAAATAAATACGTAATAAATTCAACACAAGAAGATTTAAAAAAAATCTATAACAGCTAAAATATTTTTGGTTCAGAACATTTTTTTTCTACTTATGTCAAAGCTTCTAAAACCTAATTTTGTTTTGCCTCTCAGCTAACCCTGCATCGCTGCTCGTTCTTGTTTCAGATCAGTACGACAGAAATCCAGGACATAGACTTATCCCGCTTTGTTCCACAAGAGGTCGACAACACGGGCATCACCGTAGCATCGATGGACCGGTTCGCCTCCAGGGGCACGACGGAGACGACGGGAACGGACAACGGTGAGAATAAAACAGTTCTGGCTTTACTTTCAACAATTGGATTAAAGCTCTTTTTAAAAAAATAAAAACAAATTTGGTGACAACAGTTTATTCCTGGCACTGTTTTTAAAAATGTGAAAAGTCGAACGAAGTGATTTAGATGAAATATTGAAGTTTTCAGTCGGAACAGTCAGTCATAGCGGAGTCCCTAAAGAACCGTTGGGAAGGTAGAACTGGACAATATTCAGTTTTTACTGTCTGGACAAACGGCGTCACTTTGGTGTTTTTTCTTTGTTTGCTTTTAAAGAGGATCGAAATTAAAACGAGACATGACGTTAAAACGAAACAAAAAAGCAGCACACAAGTGGATTTGATGCACAAGATATTTTTTGAGGACCTTGTTATTTAAAACATCTGGCTCTGAGGTTAAAATTAAAACATCTGAAGTCTTTCCTTGGTTTGAAGGTTGCTTCTGTCGTAATATGAATCTGGTGCAAACAGTTCATTCTTGGAAAAACAAACCTTTATCTAAGACGGTGAATAAAGTGACTCTGATGTTCAGACTGGGTTTAGTCACAGACGAGTGGTTCAACCCTTCAACACCAGGTATCACGCAGGCTGCCTGGACGTGTTCTTGTTATTTTGGCTGTAAAAGAGTCAGAAGTCCTGCTATGACTGATGGTTTTTACCCTTTTTTTCTCTCCTGCCCAAATTGTTGAGGAGTTACAGAAACATGATGGTAAAATGTAGGCGCAGCTGATTTTTATGTCTGTGTTCAGACAACAGTAACTTATGAGTGTGTTGTGCCACCGTAATACATCTAATATCTCCATAAAGCTTGCATTCTCTTCTTTCAGAAACCGTTTGAATTCTGTCTCTAGCACAAACAGTAACGGCAATATGGTCATTTAAAGAGCGCTTCAGTTTCCAGCTCTGCTAAATGGGGCTCTTACGTTGATTTCTTTCTGGCTTTCAAACTTGCTGCTGAATTTCAGGGTTCAGATGGTTTAAAAAAACAACATAAAATGACCTTAAAAAGACACAAATAAGCAGCACGAGTGTGTTTGATGCACAACAAGCAGCTTCATTGATGTTCTTGTTCCTGCAGACGAGCAGCTGAACGGAGCTTGCGGCGGCGCCGAGGCTAACGGGCTTTCGGGAGCCGAGGGCGGCAGCGAGGACGGCGGAGGGGAGGACGAAGAGGAGGAGGAGGAGGAGGTACCGGTGGATGAAAACCTGTTCACGGGAGAAGACCTGGAGGAACTCGACGAGGAACTCAACACACTGGTGCTGGAAGACTGAGGAGGAGGTTAGGACGGACTAAGTGACAAAGGGACGGACTGACGGATGCATGGAGCTGCAAACACCAGAGACCAGACGTCTGAATGATTCAGAGACTCCAGTAACAAAGCCTGATTACATCACTTCCTGTCTGCCCCTCCGTTCTGTGTCGCCCCCTCATCATTCTGTACTTTAAATTTCCGAGGCCGATTAGAGGTTTAAAATCCACATGAATGTTTCCATTGACAGAATCTGGCTGCTGTTGTTGTGCACTTTCTGTTGCTTGACAAACTCGCTGGCTTTTATTGAAATTTCTTCTAAATAAATTAGGCTTCCAGTGCTTCTCTACCGGATTAAATATTGAATAGACACCGTGAGGGATCTAAAATAAAGCACTCTACCTGTTGAGACATTTCAATGGATTTATTTTTATTTTAAAGCGACGTTTTGAGCTGAAGTTGCTCAAAGTGGGGAAACAAACCGTGATTCTGCTCTCATGCCAAAATTAAAGTTTGAAGATGCACTTTGATCTACTGGAGATTGTTTTTTTCCTTCCGGCTGATGTCATGCAGCTGAGCTCATCGCTAAACCCTAAATTGTGGACGTTTCTCTGTGAGGGAACGGTCCAGACTCCTGAAACGTCGGCCCAATCTCTGACACCAGATTTGTGCCCATTGCCAGCCCGGTATTGTAAATAAAATGTTCTCATGAGTTGCCTCCTAACAAAATAAAATCTCTGTACATCCAGCGTCTGCGTCTTCGTGGTCGGGTCACATCCCATATGCTCACAAAAGGTTCTGGAAAGTCAGCGTCTTACTGGAAATGCAATCCTGTTTATCAACATTTGAAACATTCGCACAATATTATCTTCAGATTTGGTCCTATATGTTGGAGTCGCACATCATCTAGTTGGTAATCCAGTGATGCGTTATGTTTACATTCAGCACAAGTGGCTCATATTTACATGTTCAGGTTACAGGAAATGTGACCATAAATGGATGTTAAAGGTTCCACACTGAGCCTCACGTGTTCCCAGAATGTGTCTTTAAATATTTAATCTGAAAACACTACAAACATGGTTCATTTCTCCACCACTGTTTAACCGGGCTGCTGCTGGCCCCGCCCCCTTCAGGAAGAAAACGCTCTATGCATTTGTGATTGACAGCATGAATGTGTGTGAGATCAGGATTTTCTATCTAACTTTGTCCCTGAGGATCATTCTACATGTTAACATCTCGCTTTAACTCCTGTGTTTGGTGTCAGACGACGTTATAAAATCAGTATTTTAAATGAAGCTGCTGCTGGTTAACATCTGAATGAGTTTCAGTCTCTGTTTGATCCTTGTTCTGCCGTCTGACAACAGAAACAGAAACATCTGTAGATGAGAGCAGCTTTACTGTGAGTCCAGCTGATATTAAAATGCAGCTTAATGAGCACAGAGAGCAGGAGAGAAGCTACCAGATGGAGACATGAAAACACAGTAACCCACCCAGTCCTGGTTCACTGGTTTACATTAAAGCTTCCACAGAATTCTGAGCATCAAAGCTAACGTTAGCCACATTAGCTGCACTCAACATGCTAACGCCAAGGATTCTCCTATTGTTGTGGGGACAATAGCATCAATAATAATCCACTGGGTGTTCAGTTCCTCAGATGCTGGCAGTGCATCAAGACTCTTGTGTTCACTCTGAACTTTGCGGTTTTTTTGAGTCAGTCTGGATTAATGTTGATTCACATTAACCTTATTTTAATTCATTTTGAACAGGTTTGGAGTCATTTTGAACGACTTTTTAGGCACTTTGTACAACTTTTCAGGTCATTTTCTCCGAGTTTGAGTGCATGAAGACTCTCGTGTTCACTCTTGCCACCAACAGCAGAATATTTGGGGAGTTTTGCTCATGGCTCAGATAGTTCAGAGTTTTCAAATTCAAGTTTCAAAGTTATTTTGAACATATTTTGATTCATTTTCAATGTGTTTTGAGTCTTCTGGGCAAATTTGGAGTAATTTTGAACTTACTTTGATCAGTTTTGGACTAGTTTTGAGTCATTTTGGTAAATTCTTTGGGTCATTTTCGCCAAGTTTGAGTTCACGAGGACTCTTGTGTTCACTCTTACAGCAGAACATTTGGCAAGTTTTCCTCGAGTTTCAGACATTTTAGAGTTTAGCAGAAGCAGCTGGAGAAAGTAAATAAACCTGTTGGACTGAGATGCAGCTGCTCGTTCTGATTGGTTCACCTGGAAGCAGTGAAGGGGCGGAGCTACACAGAGCTGGATGACTTGGTTCCTCACTTTCTACGTAGACATAAATGAAACTCTGGACATCTAGACATCTGGACATCTGTGGAGGGTTAAAGAGTGGTTCAGCATCTTTATATCCTCACAGATTTTATTTGACACCTTTTTAAGACACAATAAAGACACCATTAGTCATGATTTCACACATCAGCTGGAGTAACAGAAAACCTTAATGCTACTTTTATTCAAACAAAAGAGCAGTACAATGAGAGTCAAGATGCTGGATAGGATGTTCAAGTATTGATTTATTGAGTCAAAAAAAAAAAAGGTTCACAGTCTAGTAAACACCTCTTTCTCTGGGCTCTATGTTGGGTTACAGGGCATTCCATAGAAGAAATAAGAGTAGAAAAGTGTCCTGATGCAGCTTTACACATCCTGTTTTCAGCTCATCAGCAGCTGCGCTTTTCAGAAATAAAACGCTGCCGTCCACCTAAACCACAGTGTGACTCATCAAACTTTAAATCAAGTCTTCCTCGAACACTCAACGTGGAAACTAAGCACTTAAAAGGAATAAAAGCACGGCAGCGAGCGGACGACAAACACTGACACGTCGCTGTTCACAGACGCTTTACGGTTAAGACTCCACGAGTGAGCGCCGCTCTGGTTCTACAGTGAGTCACGGAGCAGCAGTCGGGTCAGACAGGTGTCAAAGGTCGTGTCAGAGGTCGTGCAGGTCTTGATGTCGGTCGGTCTGTCAGGTCAGGTGTCATTGTGTCATGACAACAGTCGCCTAGGGGACAAGAAGCTGCAGCGTTATTGACAGGAAGAGAGAAAACTGTGAGCAGAAACGTGTTGACATCATGTCGGGCTGCAGGTGAAGGAAATCTAACATGTTCTAGTGAATTCTGAGCCCCGAAACCCCACCGGGCCGTTGAAAAGACATGTTGTCTTCATAAAGCAGCCAGAAGTGTCTGATTTCCAACTTCCCAAAAGCACATGAACTACCCATCAGCGAAGAGATCTGTCAGCCAAACCTGAGCTTAAACGTGTCATAAAAATCACTTTTTAATTCATGTTTCGTTTAAGATTTCACCAAAATTAAAGTGTTTCCAAAAACCAGATTCTGTAAAAAATTAATAATTCTTCACTCCGTGGTGTGACCATAAAGACGTGAGTGTTTCAGCTGCAACCAACAGCTACAAAAATTCAGGGACTTAAAACTAAATAGTAATCTTAAGTAGAAATGTCTGTGTGGTATGTAGAGTCACTGTTTTAAAACAGTAACATCTAATCAGAGGGACCTCTAATAGATCCTCTGTGCAGTTTGACACTTAAAACACCACTCATCAGTTTAAAAAAATAAAAACTGGGTGCCTCTATCGCTCACCTAGTTGAGCGGGTGACCCATGAACAGGGGCTACAGTTCCCTGATGCAGCGGTCGTGGGTTCAACTCCCGCTCACGACCCTTTGCTGAAGGTCTCTCCTTTCCTGTCTATCTCTACTGCTCTAAAATAAAGGCAAAAAATATATATATATTTAAAAAAAAAACAATTAAAAATCTAACAAAAATTTCTTTCATTATTTATTTTACAGAAGTTTAAAAAATCCTGGAATCGACATGTAGAATGCTGTTTGTCTAAAACGTGACTCCACATCTTATTTCACTATTTCCATCTTTAATTAGTTTCTCTACTCGTCTCCTCTGTGTAAACGCTGCCTATAGTTCAGCTGAAAAGTCCCTCAGTTTACAACCTTACAGACTTATTTGAAAGAATCTGGCCAGCATTGTTAATTTATGGTAAATATTTAAATGAAACATGCAGAATTAAGTGACTTTGACTAAATGTCACGATGATAAGTTCAGATTTGGTTCATTTTCCTGCAATATGGCACATTAAAGATGAAGATCTGATGATTCCTTCTAGTTTGGCAGTTATTTTTTCTTTTTAAAGATAACATGACTTTCAACTTCTCTGGCAGGTTTTTGAGTTCAGAGGCAACAGAAATGTGTTTGTGCATTCCTGAGCAAGAATGTGAATAATGTGTGTGTGTGTGTGTGGCACAAACCTGAGACAGAATAGGTTTACAGTGCACATACAGCATTGTTGTCATAATACAGACGTGTACCAGCTGCCCAGGTGTCATACTGGTGTTCCTGCAGCAGAGCAGGAGGAACTTACCGCTCGGCTCGGTCCTAGTAGGTCCGAGGGCGTTTGTGCGACTCCTCTCTGGGAGGATCCGCCAGCATCACCTTCATCTTCACCCCGTTGACAACGCGGCCGTGGAGCGCCGCCATGGCGTCATCGGCACACTGAGACGGGAACAGGCAGAGTGAGAACTCGATGTAATGCAGTTTTAAACTCATAACAGCCTGCGTGTGGGTTTCAACAAGACTGTCTGTGGTGCTGGAGTCAGGATGCTGTGTGACGTTATTTCATCAACACCTGAACCTGTGTCACATGTTTTTGTGATCGTTTGTGATTTCTCCACCGAGAACAAATGTCAGACTGTGTGTCTGTCAGCAGCTGGATGTTCATGTGGAGGATCGTCATGGAGACCAGAGGAGGGTCTGCAGCTACCGTCCACAGAGGAAACAGCCGTTAACAGTACAAGAGCTGTTGTTTACAAATCTGGACAACACGCTCACGGTTTTCTTTATGTAAAGGCTTCCCTGAGCCTGGTCCTGGCTGAGGTTTTTTTTTTTTTTTTGGTTCTTTCCCATCGTTAGTGACCGCTTGCTCATCGGGAATCCAAAGACAACTTTAGATTGTTCCTGGTTCAAAATTCGTAAGGTCTGCACATTACTGAGATGACATGTTGTGAATACATATAAATAAAACTGAACTGAATGTAGTTGTGCATCATGAGTTAATTAGTTCTTCACTAAACCCCAGAAGGAACAGAATCGCAGCAGCAGTTTGCACATCATAAAAACCCAACTTAAAAAGGTATACACTAGAATAAAGACATCTGAATAAAATAGAATAAGATCAAAAACTCTCATGTGCAGTTTAAAGCTGAACATGAAATAAACTAAACCTGTCATTGTCCAGCTTTACTTCATCAGATCTGTTTATTCTGAGCAGTTTGTGCAACGTCCTTCTATCAACATCCAGCAGCACAGAGCAGCCTTTAAAACCAGTCAAACCTCCAGACTAAAGGCAGAGTTCAGCTGGGATGTGCTGAAGGACACAGCGTTGTGATTGGCTAAATGTTTTCTCACCACAGCTACACAACTGTCGCTGTTTACTCGCACTAAGTTTGTCTCCTCGTGACGTCTTCCTCTTCCCCAACATGAAGCTAAAGGTTCAGCTCTTCATAGACCATGTCTAACTGGACTCTGGGAGCAGAGCGACGCTGCACCAAGAGAAAAGTTAGACGGTGATGGCGAGAAACTTTCTATTTAATTTTTACAGGCCCAGACTGGGAACTTCTTGATCAACCCTCGTAGACATGAGCTCAATCTGATCTTATCTCAGTCTTCACTACTTCATCGTTCAGGAGTTTGCCGTCGTCTCACCTGTTTGTCTGCGTACTTCATGTATCCGACTTTCCTTCCTGGAACCAAATGGACCTCGATGAGGGAACCGTAGCGGCTGCAGAGACAGACGGAGAAGCAGCGATATTTGTTCATGCCGACTGTCTGGAGCTTCACTTTAATGGCAGCATTACGCATCGTTTAAGCACTTAGCTCCATCCTGAGCAATTTGCTGCGACTGAGCTCGGAGTCAGATCGATGGAAACCTCTGACCTGCCGGCTAATGGGCCGTCATTCTCACCGTTCGGCGACGGCGAGCGTTTAACTCGTCGGCCCTTTCTGACAGAGTAATGACTGAGCAAAGTGATGTTTACCAGAACACGTCCTCCAACACGTCCGGCGGCAGCGGCGACGGACTGAACACCACAAACAAGCGCTCCTTGGCCTTGCTGTCGGGCGGAGCGAGCTTCTTCAGCGGCGGCAGACTGACGTCGGTCTGAATCCGAGACATCTGGGAGACGGCAGGGAAGTTCTGGGAGACACAAACACAGAAGCTCATCGGTTAGATACTGTCATTTACACAAAGCCAGATGTTGAACAGCCTCGATAACATCAGTTCCTGGGTTTGATGGGTCACATTTATCATAAATTTGACAGATTTTTGGCTGAAATAGGCAAAAACTGCAGGTTTTTCTAATCCCTAAAAACTGGACTGCTGAACGACACAACGGTTGTAAATCAGGCGCTGACTTCAGGAACTCACAGGAGGTTTCATCACTTGGCTGGTGGAAGGTCCGTTCCACACCGCAGACATCATCTGAGCTGCAACAAACTGCATGGCCATCCGACCGACAGGGCTGCAGACGGAAACAAACAGCAAATGACCGACTTCTATACAGACGTGAAGAAATGAAATTATTCAATTACAGACATACTTTTGAGGATAAGATGTAGTTTTTGGTGAAAACACGTGATATTTGTGTGTAAAAAAGAACGTGAGGAAGCGACTATATTATTATTATGTGCCCCTGAGATTAATTTAATTGTCAATTATCACCTTTAAAGGGACTTTTAAACAGTTTAATGTCTTTTATACGCCTTCATGTCTGTGCTTTTACTTTGTGTGTTAAAGTTAGTGTCTAATCACGATTAAGTCAAGTAACTCTCTGAACTACAACCAGTTCTTGGGTTAGTTTCTGTCACATTTTTCCATGTTGTTTTTTTTCATGTTTCTTTGCAACATGAAGTCCTGCAGCTCTGTGGAACCAGAACATGATGACGGAGAGAGAACTCAGAGACGTCTTCTGTCAGCAGGACTCAGGATTACGACGCCATAAATCATAAATACAGAAAAATTTAAGTTGAGTTTCTTCGATTATTTACTTTTACAAACGTGAACAGACCTGGAATCAACATGAAAATCATTCGTCAGGTGTTACCGACACTGGAGAGGGAAGACGTTATTTATTTGTATTATTCAACGATTTACATTTTTTGGTTTGCTTCCATATTGTGCAAAGACAGTAGATTTTTTGGGGGGTTTTTTTGTGCAGTTTATGGTGTATATGGTTTGTTTTTTTATGTTACTTTTGATTAAACATCACAATTTACATTTTTTCATTAAACATATTTTCACATTTGAGGAATTTTCTAACAAACCTACACGACACACATGATTAGTTCTTTCTGTAAAGTAGAAACCTGGAGGTTTTTTGTATGTTTCTGGCTGATAGATGATAATTTCTTCAAACATAAACCAGGCCTTGAAACCTGCTGGTGGGTTCTGGATGATGAATGTGTTTAATTTTATTGTTTTCCATGCTGTATAAGGAGGATCTGAGTAGTGCTCTGATTAACATTAATCAGTTTTTTTTTTTTTTATCATTGTTGCTCTGCATACATATAAATTAATTCAGAAAATGATTTCAGTCTTATATTCTGATTTCAGTGCGACTCTGTAACATCTGTTCAGGGACTATGGATAAATGCGTTCTGTCCCTGTTCATGAAGCAACAAACAGAAATAAATAAAAGCTCCTAGAAAGCAGCTGAAACCCAGGTTCATGTCAGCAGAGCGTCACAGTGTCAGAGCAGCTTCCTGACTCCATCCTCCGTCCTGGTTTATTAAAAGTGAGCCACTGAAACTGTTTTAAAGCCCAGATTTTGTTTTTCACTGTACACCACTATGTGTACGACACGTTTCTGAGGCCCACGGGCGCCGACGTCCACCCATGAATATTTAACAACAAATAAAACGTGGCCAAGAGGACGTGAAGACAAGGTCACGTTTAACGACCGCTGGCATTTTGGTCCCACTTTTTTAATTACTGGATGTATTAACTTTAAAGGGCATTTCCTCTCCGAGTCCATTAATCTCTGACCCCTCTGCAGGCGCAGAGCGAGCGCTCGCCGTTACCTGCTGCGATCTTCTCCGTCGTCCACGAAATTTACTGCCAGTCTGTTTCCAGGTGGATACTCGAAGCCGTTGAGCTTCTCCTTGGCGTAAACTGCTGATCCCAGATTACTGTAGCGAATCAAAGCGTGACCTGGAGGCACAAGACGCACAACGAACGGGAAAGTTTGTCAGAGTGGAAAACTCTGACTTCAGGTTCATCCACATGAATGTTAACGGACTACATGATGACAAACTGCAGGTAATCAGAGTAGTTTCACATCTTAAACACCTTTTGGTTTTTGTCTGTCAGATTTAGAATTTGTTGATCTGTTATTAACCAATTAAATATCTGTGTCTTAACTCAGCAGAGACAAGCATAGAAGTAAAAATAAAAATAATAATTATCTATAGAATCTAGAGGCCCCACGTTCTTCCTGTGGCCTTGTAGAAAATTGTCAGAAGTTTTTCCATTTTTTGTAAAATAAATGATCAAAGAAACTCAATTGTTTTCTTATGATTTATGGCTATAACTGTGTTGTACAGTGCAAAAGACTTTTTCTGAGTCCTCTCTCCTTCTTCATGATGTTCTGGGTCCACAGAGGACTTTATGTTGCAGAGAAACATGAGCCACAGGCAGGAAAAATGATCTGATTCAGAGGGTTAAACCCGCAAATCCTGCTTCCTCATACAGGTTCCTGGTCATTAGATCATTCATCTAATTATCAACTCTCAGTCACCTTCCTTAAAAACATCATCTAGAATTTTCTCCTACATTTAAACTCGAACACATCTGTGATAAAATGCTTTTCAGACTGTATCCGACAGCATCCTTCTCCTCTAAATTCACCACAAGGCGCTACAGAGCCCACAGTTAGTGTCTGAAGCCGACCTTTGCTCATCCCGTAGGCGTCTCTCTGCAGCTCGCAGTACTCCATCCCGGGAATCAGGTCGAACAGAGCGAAGATCTGCTCCTGGGTCAGAGCGGCGCGAGTCGATATCATCAGGCATCGCGTGAAGTCGCCGGAGCGGTAATCCATCACCTGGTAGTTACCGGGGTCGGCTGGAACAAGAGCAAAGAGAGGAGGAGCGCCGAGGTCAGAGACAACTCCTGAATGTGTTCGTTAAAGAAGAGAAGCTGCGAGTTTTAATCAGGTGTTTTCCTGCCCTGTACGCCACAATATGGGACCTTTAAGTCTGAATCAGGATGTTAGACGAAGGCTCACCCATTGGGAAGGAGTACTGGTTCATGTTGTCGCCTCCAATGAGATAATCTCCACCTCCTCCTCCTCCTCCTCCTCCTCTTCCTCCACCTCCTCCTCCACCGCTGTAATCTTCTGTGACTGTAGCTTTGGTTCGAGGTTCGGCCAGAATCGCCCTGTAGGCTAAGAACCACCAACATCATCACTAACCAGCTGCTCATAAAACGTTAACAACATGAAGAAAACACACCAAATATTCTGTTTACTGGGTGGTTTAACTGTTTGGGTTTCCATTCTGCTGCTTCAACCACAAGAGCTAAACCAGTGAAAGAGTCTGAAACTTACTTTTGTCGCAGTTTTCTATTGCGTTTGCAGCTTGGGAGGGTTTGTAGTACCTCACGTAGCCGAGTCCTTTACTTTCTCCCGTGAACTTATTTTTGATGATGACACAATATTCAATATCTCCATATTCCTGAAAGAGATAACAGGAGACAGGCAGGGATTAAGAGATTTATATTCATTGTGGAGGGGTTAGTTTGGCATTGAAAAGGGGGAAAAATGGAAAAAAATAGCTGTTAAAGGCAATATAGAATAATTAAAGAGCCTAAAATTAAAGCTCAGACGGTTTACATGCATCACAAAGTCAACCAGTTTACATTTATAAATACGATCTATTATTTATGTCATATTCACATAAATTAATAACATTAAGGGAAGTATTCAGACAATTCCATCAACTTTTGTATATTTTATCGTATTTTTAGGTTTATTTGACATAAAAGCTGAGCATGGAGATGGAACAGGACAAAACATAAAGTAAGGAAGTAGGTGTGTTTACCTTGAACGTGTTTTTGAGATCCTCCTCTGAGAAGGTTTTGGGGATCATGACGAAGATTCTGGTCAGTTCTTCATCCTCGACGTCTCGGTGTCTCGTAGACGAGCGTGACTGAGCGATGAACACCTGCGAACAGAGAAAATCAGCATAAAGAAGGCTTTAAAACATACCTCCAGTTTACAGAGCTAGCTGTCAGCTCAGCTGCATCTCCAACATAAAGCGTTTTGCAGTTGGTCTGCAATGATAACTTTCAGCGTTAATTAATCTGACAGTTACTTCCTGGATAAACCGAGTCGTCGTGGAAACGTTTTATAGACCAAATGTCCACCAGTGGTCTCTCAAGTGTCTCACTGAAGCAGCTGCAATCACAGAATGTACATTTACTGGATTAAACGAGTTGAACTGGTTCTTTCAACAGGTAAAACCACCTGGATTGGATGTAACAGAGCAGGTAAAATGGATAAAAGTAGTAAATATGATCTTATCTTTATTTAAAATACTAAATTCATGTGGATAATTTCTCCCACAGATCAAGTTTTTAGCAGTTTAAAAGCTGAACCTTTAGCTTCTCTCTGTTGTGTCGCCACCAATCACAGTATGCTAATGCTAACTGTGTTACTAACGTTAGCTGTGATGCTAATGCTATATGTGTTACTTACTTTAAATGTGATGCTAACGTTAGCTGCGATGCTACTGCTAACTGTTGTTCTAATGCTAACAGGCTAGCTGACGGTCCTCTGGTTCCGTTTACCCTGAAACTTGATAAAGCAAGAGCCTCGGTACGTTAACCCGGTTCCCCCTCGGTCTTCCCTGCCGGTACCTTGATGGGCTTCGTCCCCTCCACCAGAACCTTTCCGTGCATCTCCTCCATGGCCAGACAGGCCTGAGACGACTTGGAGAACTTGACGTACGAGATTCCTTTGGACTCCTTGGTCTGCTTGTCTTTGACGACCCAGACCCCCTGAATGTCCCCGAACCCGGAGAAGCTCTCCCGCAGCTCATCCTCGGTGATGGAGCGGCTGGTGACCACGAACAGGCGGCTGTTTGGCGGGTCGTCGAGGTTCTCGGTGGCTTGTTTGGATGGAAACTCCTCCATGTTCTGCTGCGGCCGAACCGTCTGCTGCGGCCTTCAGGAGCCGCTCGGAACTTCGACAATCCGGAAACAACGGGAGCTGTGGGTCAGTCAGAGGAACGTTTAGGACTAATTTATTTATTTATTGCCCTAGAAAGCATCCAAGTCTCATAACTGGTCAGTACAAAAATTCTAAATTCAGCAGAGAATTTCAAAAATATTCTTTGATACATAAATACTAATAACAAAGCCTTATAATAAATGAGAAGTATCGTAATAAATAAATTAATAATATTTATAATAACAAAAGTATTAGTTAAAATTAAATGGGGCACTAGGAAGACAGTGTAAAAAAGCCAGTTTATTTCTACATCAGAAGTTATGCAAAGGACAAAAATAAAATATGTAAAACAATAAAAATAAAACAAAAACAGGAACCTTTTTTTGGTGCTCACCAAAACCAGGAGGATCCTTTTGAGTTCTGAATTGAGGAAACCCTCAGAAAGGTTATTCAAAGAACTGCTGCGTGGAGTTTAGGTGTGTTTTTTCTATTACTATTATTATATCAAACCTGCAAACATAAGAAAAAGCATTAGATAATAAATAAATCTTCATATTTGCTTAAATTAATCAAATCTGTCACAAAAACTTGCTTTAATTTCTCCCAATATTGTTCAAAACAGCTCCATAATTTCATGCCAGAAAAATATTTTATATAATTTTTAAAAACAGTTCCATTGTAATACTCTTAATGTCGTTGTTCCTTCATCGTGATGTGAACCGAACAGATTGTGTCTCGTCTACATGTTGGATTATTGCAGTACAGTTACAACAAAACAAAGTAAAATAGAATAAACTAATCAAAGTATAAAGTGTTGGTTGATAAAAATCTACTAAAGAATCCTCCAGTTTTAGTTCATCGTGAGCTAATCGTGACATTTCCTACAGTCATGAAGGCACCAGCTGCCGGTGGAGCCAGTTTGCTGCCTTCTGCTGCTCTGGAGGATCAGCTGAGCCCTGGACGTTACAAAAGGATGCTGCCGGAGCTTTTATAACTTCTGACCTCAGCATCACACAGACAGCGCTGGATTACATCAGGAGACAGAACATAAAGTGTCTGGTTCTGCTTAGATGGACCTGCTGAGAACCTGTGAATCCAAAAGTGCTGTTCTAGAGACAGAAGCTGCTCACGGCAGATATTAGTCTCACTTCAGTTTGCGGAAGTTTGTAAGTTGCCTCGTTTTAACAGTTTGATTTGATTTACAGCCTCTGTGTGTCTCTGGGACGAGGTCATTTAAAGACACTTCCTTTATATTTTATGCGATTTAACATTAAAAACACGTCAGAAACAAAGATCAAACTGTAACACAGAACATTTACAGACAGGACAAAACCTCTAGAATAAATTTAGAATAAATAAAATCTTCTAAAATAAGAAAAGCAATAAAAACAAACATTGCAATAAAAGGCAAAAAAAACACTTGAATGCAAACTCAGATTGATTTTAAAGTCAGATTTGTACTTTCCAACAATAAACAAATATGAATTTAGACTGTTTTTATTTTAAAAGTACTCAAAAGGATTATTGATAATCACAACAGTTAACAGCTGATAACTAACTAATTCATCATTGCAGCTCTAGTTGAGTTAAATCGTGTATGTTTTAAGGTGTAAAGGAATTATTTTCATGGAAAAACTCACATTTTATCGTCATTTTACACTGAAAAGGTTAAAAATGGTGCAAATATCAGATTAAAGTCTAAAGATTTTTATGCTGAGGCTCCAATCATTCAACGACTGGAGGTCAAACATGCATTAATTGAATCTATAAGTCTGTTGATGCTAAATCACCTTCAATTAAACATGATTAAGATTTAACAAAGTTTACTCAAGTGGGACAAATAATCCTAAAGATTAAAATGATTTGAATAAAGATGTCTTTTTATGATCTGGTACATGTAGAAGCTGTTCATCAGTCGAGTGGTTTAAATGTGTTGCTTAATGAGTTTCTTGATTATTTAGTGGGGAAAGAAATCTGAAAATATTCACATTCAGGAAGCTGCAATCACAAAATTTAGACTTTAATTACTCAAATTGATTAATCAATAATCAGAATAGTCGGTGACAACGAACAGATGAATCATTTCGGCTCTAGTTGACGTTTTATGAGAAGAAGGGATTATTTTCATGAAAAAAAAAACTTCTCTGTGTGTCACTCTGATACACAGAAATGAGGTTTAATGGTAACTAATGGGTTTAATCAACAACCAGAGACGGCATTAAAGTAATTTGATTAATAATAAGCATTCAGGGTGTTTTATTTTGAAAGCGTCCAGCTCACTTTGTGTGTGAGTGAATGTTGAGGACAAACCAGGAGATGATCAGCTTCATGGAGGTTGTGACACTAATATAATATGAATTCTGCCGTTTTCAGACTTTATGTGTGAATCTAATAAACTGATAACATATGTGAGTGATAATGTGAGTTTTGCAAACATATTAATAAAAACTGTTTTGGTTGAAGGACACTGAGGTCACCAGAGGTCACCTTCAACAACAGCTCCGACCTGCTGTTTGTTTATTAATGTTATTTAATGTCTTTTAAATTTCCCTGGTGAGGGATCAATAAAGTTTGTTTTATCTTATTTCTTAATCCTATACAGACACTTTAGGTATAGAATTTTAATTCATTACTACTTAGCAGCAGCTCAGACCTGCTTTTTATCATTAAATTCCATTTATTGCCCTTAAAACTTGATTCTTAATAAATGTATTATTGCATGGTCGTTCTGCCACTAAACTATTCAGCTTTAAGTAAATAATCGATGGGATACTGTGTGCAATAGACTTATTTATTGTCTTTTCTTGCTTTACAAATGTTAATAAAAGGTATTTTAGATGAAATGTGGATATAAAATTCACATTAAAGATCACTGACTGAGACCTCGAACGGCTTTTGAACACATATGTTCTCTTCTGACCCTGACCTCAGCTCCATGCGGTTATTGTGGGATCACACGAGGAGACAGAACACAATGTGTTTGGTTCTCTGAGCTGCTGAGAACAACCTGCTGGGAACCTTCATTCACTCAGAACACCGGCTGTCGTTCTAAAGACAGAAAAAAAAAACAGGTTGAGTTCAGGTTATTGAAGTTTGTATTAAGTTATTTGATGAACACAATAGATGTTCATAGTGCTTATGTCCTCTGTGTGTGTGTGCGTGTGTGTGTGTGTGTGTGTGTGTTATTTTTAACCCGCTGACTGACCCGTCTGAGGACAAACCTTCAGATCATATTGGATCACATCGGGTTTACTGGCTGATATTAACTCTGCGTTTCAGTCTTTCTTTGTAAATCTCATATAAATTTAACATCCGTGAATTTGAATGTGAATTTATTTATTTCACATGTGGGTTTAATCTGATCAAGTACACTGAGGTCACCTGAGGTCACCTTCAAGTTCAGCTCCAAACCACCAGCTCAGACCTGATTTCTGTTTATTAAATTCCATTTTTTTCCTCTTATAACATGTTGATATTTCATGTTTTCATGTTGTAGTTGTGTACGTTTTTTATTTATTTTAATACACCGTACTAAACTGCAATCTTTTAAGTGGACAATAGATGTAAAAGTCATTCTTGTGTAATACAGACTCATTAAATCGTTGATTCTTTCTTGCTTTTGAAATGTTAATAACAGCTTTGATGAAATATGAACGATTTAATTTATATCAAAGCTTATTTAACCACATGTAGAATAGAAAGCGCACATTTAAATGCAGATACGTTTTCATTAAACGGAGTCCAAAATACGCTGATAATAAAATATTATTTATAAAACTTTAAGAATTGGAAAATAACTGGCAAATTAAATATTCTCTGTGGCAAAATATGGACGTTTTTCCTGATTTCTAGTCATCGGGTGTCTGAGGCTATGGATCAAACTTTTATTTTTTTAACAAAATCAAGAATGATAAAACAAAAAGGCCCCAAATCTGTTTATGTTTAATTCTAATTATGCATTAAAGCCCTCTAAAACAATATGACGCAGTTGCATCTTGGTTAATTAGTTTTAATTGTAGGAAATGTTGGTGTTAAATATAAACTTAACACGTTTAAATATTAAGCTTAAGACCCACAGTGTTATTTATGACATGGATTTACATGAGCATTTTAAAATGAAGGACTTTATGGTATGTATATGTTATAATATTGTACAAATATTAGACTATAAGACTGTAGTGTGTTAATAATTACAGGGATAAACATGAGTAATTTAAAAGTTTTCTTGAAAACATATACACAAAAATCCCCAAATCCCTGCATCCCCTTTGTTTTTATTTTATTTCCCTATGTGTTGTTTTTGTGATTTTTATAATTGTTTTATTTTATATTACTTTTATTCTTTTTTGTAAATTAAATAATGTTCTTTTAAACATATATTTTCCAAACACACTTTACGTAAGCTTAGAGTTGTGTACGTGATGTAAATGAATTCCAGGGCTCACAGCTTGGCCTCCTGCATTCACTGTGATATAATGCAGAACATGACCTTAGTTTTCCCCACAGTGTCTCCAACTTTACCTTCATCATAATCTGAAATTATTTAAAAATTGTGCTATTATCTGATTAATATGTAAAGTTGTCTGGACTGGATTAATTTCTTAATGTTTGAAAATCCCCAGAACACCTGTGATCAGAATAAAGAGCAGTTATTCTGATGTATGATCTCCTTATAAGGCTCCTCCAGCAGGTGTCTGCTGCTCCACAATGGAAGCCGGAGAATGCGGCAAGATGCTGGGCCCCGTACCGAATCTCCCTTTGAGCTTCCTCTAGTGGATCCTCGTCTCCTCTTGTATCAGAATAGCAGCAAACTCAACGCGTTTTAGCTCACACTTGGACTGTTTGTGATTAATAGCATTGTGTTTTGCGATTTCTGTTGTGGAAAAACGAATCATCACTAAATAAAATTCAAAGAAATGGTACACATAAGGACACATGTATAAATTGAAATGAGACTCAGCCCGACATAAAGTTCACGTCAGCATCGTAGGAAATCTCCCGGCCTGCACGTGATACGTGATGACGTCAAACGCCGGTGCCTCTATAGTGCGGTGACCTTCTTTACGACCGTTACAAACCGCTCGTCGGCCGAAAGGAGCAGCGACAACCCGCACCTGGGAGACTTTAACCGGGCTGATTTGAATCCAACAGGTAAACCCTCCCGCCTCCTTAACGACCTCCGGTCAGTGTCGGACAGAACCGGAGCCATTGTTCGAAACGATGCTGAACCGGAGGAGCGGAAAGGAGATGCTGAGCGGCGGCGCTAGCGTTAGCCGTTGGTGAATAGCTCCGCTGCTCCGTTTGCGTTCAGCGACCGAACCGGTTATTCAGGTGAAAAAGCGGCGTTTTAATGTCCGTTTAAATGCTCATTTAAAAGGTGTGTTTAGCGCTTAACTGAGTCCGGGTTTCGGTGAAGTACACCGGCCGGTACACCGGGGCTGACTGCGGCGTTCTGGCACCGACATTGAAGCATCCTTGACGGCCGGGGAGGCTAAGCAGGCCGGTCCGGCTGAGCGGAGCTTAAAGTCACTGAGCTGTGTGGTGATAGAACCATAAATACGGGCCTGAATGTGATGGTAGCTGCCGGTGTGTTGTCGGTTCTTCCCGTCAGAGGAGGCCGGTGTGTGTGTCCTTGATGCTGCCTCAGAAGGATGAAAGTCTCCGGGCGGACCGCCATGTTAGAGCCGCGTGAAGTCAGCTTCCCATTGGGAGCTCCTGAGTCAGCGGTTAAGGGAAACTTAAAGCGACTATTTTCTGTTTGTTTTCTGCATTTTTATTAATCAAAACCACTTTGGATAAACCCTTAATGCTGCATGAAATCGACCTTGTCATTTGTGAAGCCTCTATTATAGGAGTGAAAGTGCTAAAGAAGATTTTTTTTTTCTTTGCTTGGAGCAGGTGCAGCTTGAATTCCACTATATATAGATATTATGTCATAGCAGGAGTAGATGATACCAGAGAGGCTAAAGAAACTATATCAATATGTGAAAAAGGCAAAAAGCGAGATTTCACAGCTGCTTTTGCATGTAGGCCTCATATATCAAGGTCAAGATTAAACACCATCAGATGGATCAAGTCTGGATTATATTGTCTGAAGACACTTTTTGAATTATGAAACCTTTATTCTAGGAAAACTGTGCTGCTTTTGTGCAGGTAGCCTCCAGCAGACCAGGTTTATATGAACAAATCATGACATCTAGACGGTCAAATCTTAACTAGATTGACTGTAAGAGGCCGGAGCGTCTTAAATTCAGGGTCTAATCTGTGGAACCGCCGCAATATTTGTGAAAAGGGAAGATTTCACTGCTATTTTTGCATTTAGTCCAGATATAATACTACTGAGTGTAGGCTGGTCAAAGGTTAGATTATACCAGAGAGATTGAAGAGTCTATGAAATGCAGCATCTGAGTTGTGTAACTTTTATTCTCATGTGAAAATGCAAAAAAAAAAAAGAAAAAAAGGCATTTTCTTGTAGCTGGACTTAAAATGGTCACATCCAGACTACATTATGCCAGAGAGGCCAAAGACCGTTTGTGATTTGTGAAACCTTTATTTTAAATTCAAAAAAGAGAGATGTCACTGCTTTTAAAAAAAATTATTTTTCTATAAATCAGACAAGTCCAGGTCAAAAACCACTGTAAGGAAACTGATTACACCTGGAATGGATAACACCAGAGAGGCTGTAAAGTTTCTGATTCGTGAAATGTTTCCTCTATTTGTGAAAGCAGCCAAACAGTGAGATCACATGTGGTGGTTTCAGATCTGGTCTGGGTCTAATGTGGTTCAGAGGCACAAAAAACTGAAATCTTTTTTTTTTTTTTTTTTAAACACATGTGAAACTAGATTTCAGACAGTATTAAGTGTTTAACAAATATGTTTTAAATCTTTAAAGTGTGGGAAAGTCCAGAAGATATCCTGTAGTGCGAGTTAAGTTTCCCTTAAGTTTTCCCTTAACTGCTGCCGCAGGAGCGACCAACCCGAAGCTAGCTTCAGCTCCGGGCGGGTTTTTATTATGAAAGATTCCCGTTAGATGAACCTGCTGCGGGCCTTTAGCCACGTTAGCTAACAGGTAGCTTCTACATTATCAAACACCACCAGGCTTGGCTTTGTGGATGGTTTGTGCGCCAGATTTGACCGCTGTGGAAGTTTCTGGATGCTAACAGAGGTCGTGTTAGGTTAGTCGGATCAGCGGTGTCACGGTTAAATGTTTCCCCTTTACTTCTCTATAAAGAAGGAACTACTGTATTTACTGCTCAGAGGAGCAGAAAGCAGCAGGCTACAGGTGGTTTAATGTCCTCTGAGTGATTAAAGAGCACGGACAGGACACGTTTAACTACCACTGCTTCACATAAGCACATTAATGCTGCCTCCACGACTTTATTCTCTTAACTCAACCCGTCCTCGCTCCTCGTCCAACCTGGCAGCTCTACCGGCGGCTAACGGGGGCTAAGCTAGCCGGGCTACCGGCAGTGTGGTTCCGCTCTGCTGCCGGTTTCCTTCTCCTCACCTCTGCTCGCTATCAGACTGGACGTCTCTGAACTCAGTAAATAAAAACCAGCTGTCACCTTAAACGACCTTCACAAGATGGCGGCGCTCAGACGCAGCTTCCTGCCAGAACTTCTATGAATAGCAGATGGACAGCAGCTCGGTTTACACTCCCTGATGATCATTTCGTATAACAGGTGGATTTCTGACTGTTTTTTTCCTCTTCCTCTGTGTGTTTCTGCAGCTGATTATGGGAGACATTGGCAAAGGAAAGAAGGCTTTCGTCCAGAAGTGTGCCCAGTGCCACACAGTCGAGGAGGGGGGCAAGCACAAGGTGGGACCCAACCTGTGGGGGCTGTTCGGACGCAAGACCGGCCAGGCAGAGGGCTACTCCTACACGGACGCCAACAAGAGTAAAGGTCAGCGAGCTGCTGCGTTCATTACATTTATTTATAACGAGCTGAACTGACCAAAGAGCTGCACATGATATCAACATGAAGTCCTGCAGCTCTGTGGAACCAGAACCACACGAAGGAGGAGAGAGAATGCAGAGATGTGTTCTCTCTGTAGAAGACAGAACACATCATAGATAGAGAAAAAAACTAAACTTATTTGATTGTTTCTATTGCAAAAATTGAAGAAGAAGAACCCTGAAATCAACACATTCACATTGGGAAACAAAATGGCGTTTCTGTACGACTACTTTTATTTTTATTTGTTTGTGTCGTTCTCTCTTCTGTTTTGTTAGGCTTAGATTTGGTTCAGTTTTCCAACAGTCTGAGATGTGTAGTTTAAGGACCATCAGAAAGTTTAAAATCCTACGACTCTGGTTTTAGTTTCTGGCTCGTACCTGGACGATCACTGACAGTGTGTCGCACATAAATCTGTAAATTACACACGAGGCTGCAGCTTGTTTTGTTTTTTATTTCTTTACTATTAAAAATACCCGTTAAATGTACCTGTTCCCGTCAGCAGTGAACTGACCTCTGACCTCTCGTCTGCAGGTATCGTGTGGGGCGAGGACACCCTGATGGAGTACCTGGAGAACCCCAAGAAGTACATTCCTGGAACCAAAATGATCTTCGCCGGCATCAAGAAGAAGGGCGAGCGCCAGGACCTCATCGCATACCTGAAGTCAGCGACGTCATGAACGGGGCGCTAACGCCTGAATATTTAATGTCATTTTAATGTTCATTTTTCGGCCGCTACATTTTAAATATGTGGTTTTATGTTTCGCCATTTGTGCACAAGGTTAAATTATACCGCCGAGGTTTGAAAAGTGTCTCGATCAAGTGACCAAACATAAAACTTTTCTTCTTCTTTTTTTTTTTCTCTCTTTGTAAATCGGTACTAGCAAATACTAATCACGTTATTTAAAACCATGAGTCTCAATAGATTCACTCTCATTCTGTTCTCCATGACGACACACGTCCGGTACCGTCTGCTAGCAGAGCTGTCGCGATCAACCTCGTTTTCAACGTCGAAACTCAAAAACAAAAGAAATGTGATCTGCTGTCAGCTACGTCATTTGATCCTGTGTGGGCATATCTTGGGATGTTTGGTTACCTGGTGCTGATATTAAGCCCGTTCATGTCAGGTGGAGCTTCTGGAGCTTCACCTGACATGAAAGCTGCTTAGATTTTACAGACTGAACTTGGACATACTGTAGTGTTCTGAAACTCCAGAAGCAGCCCCTCTGAGCTCCTGTTTTTACCTCCTGCCTGTCATCAGACTTGTTACGAGTTTTTAAAGAGTCCTGCTAACGTCGACGCGCTGTCATCCGCCACCTCGCAGCCGAGAGTCGCGGTCCGATCCTCTGCTGATGCCTTTTAAAGCCGCCGCAGCGGGAAGTCAGCCGGCACATTTAAAACCTGAACAATGTTGTGGAGCTACTGTATCATGAAGGAACACTTTGCAGGGAAACACCTGGAGTGAAAAAAAAAAACGCTGTTATTTACCTGGTTTCACAGGCCTGAAAGAGTTTAACTTATTTACTGTAAGCTGTGTTTGGGGGCTGCTCGCTGTATATAACGTGGTGGCTGTTTGTGTGGTTGAGGACAGGATGGTTGAAGGATCAATAAAAAGAAAACGTCCAGAAATCTCAAATCGACTGAGTTTTTTTTTTCCTGCTTTGGGCATTTATAATACAAATACTGAATGTAATCTTACTCTGACAGATGCATGTGTTTAGATATTTACTTTTTTTTTCACATATAAATGACAAAACATCAGTGAGAGCACAAATTTAGAACACGTTTATTTCCTCTGATTTAAAGCTGATTAATGATCCTACAGGTGGCTTCAGGCCAATCAGAGGGATCGATCTGCAAATGATAAAGTTAGAGAGCAAAATAATGAATTTTGCGTAATTTTTTTTTTAGTTTTATAGATTTATTTCTGCATTTTTGAAATAAATGCAAATATCATTTTCATAAAGATTTTGTGCCTAAAGTTAAATACTTTAAAAAACTTTTTCAGCAAAGTTAAAATATATATTTGCAAATGTATTCTAATTTAACGTCTTTATTTAATCGTTCAAATGGTTAAGTTCAAGTTTAATATTGTACATTTAATTTTACACAACTAAGAAAAAGAATTATTCTGTAATTTTACATACATTTAGTTCTTGTATAATTACAGAAGTTTTCACAAAAATACTGAATAAATGAATGAATTTTCTCCACAAATGTTGGTAATCTGTCAAAATACAGTTATAATTAAAACATTTTGTTAAAAAAGAAAACCTGGCAGAAAAAAATACCAGAAAAAACAGTCAAATATGTTTAAAAGCTGTAAAAGTAACAGAAAACATCTGTAGGATAACGGATTTACAAACAGGAACGTGTGATTTAACAGCTACACATTGTAAAAGATCAACTTTGTGTTTGTGAGAATACAGATTTTAATGCATTTACAGTTTTGGCAGCATGTAAAGAAACAGGAAGTTAAAACGTTGAATATCCTGAATAACCTCAACGCTTCGACCTTCACTGTCCTCTGACTGAGCTGAACTTGAGACTCGTTTTCTTGACAGATCTGCTCTTTTGCTGGACTCCAACCTGTAAAGTGACTTTTTCCGTCTTGTGCAAACGTCCAGATTTCATCACGTCGCTCTGAGCCGGACTTAAACCTCTCGGTCCTCTTGCATAATCCTGCAGGAGAGCAGCTCGGCTCAAAGCTCAGCTACAGCAGAGACGCTGCCTGGAAACAAACCCTCAGAGCAGATCCCTGTTTGAGCTGCAGGCCGGAAACTCAGGAAATTACATGAAGACTTTAATTAAGGCGACCAGCTGCCGAGGTCGTATATGCAGATAATATTCAGGGTTTTCTGTCGTCTCTCTGTGAACTTTGAAGCAGGTGAAGCAACACCGAGGGCAGATTAACGGGGATTTAGTGAAACCTGGCGGTAAAACGAGAGGCTGCACAACGAAAAGCCTTTTGAACAGCTCATAATGAGAGATGGACGGCAGCAGCAAATAGAAACCAGTTTATTAGGGTCACAGGAGCCGAGTCAAAGTCACGTTTAATTATAAACCAAAGAGCTCCAACAGAAAACCATAAAACCCAATGACCTGAAGACAATAATAAAAACAAACATAATAAGAGAAGGAGTCAGCACGGTACAAAGTAAACACATTTAATACGTTTGCGTAAACTCATTTCTTGAACAATTTACTGCTATTTTATAGATTCTTTTGGTTTAAATTACAGGTAATATCTCATAAAATCCTAGAAAAATGTATAAATGTACATGTTAACCCTGATAAAAATAAATTACTGGCCACGATAAAATTGTTCTTTTACAATGTGTGACCATAAATTTACAGTTTCCTCTGCGTCGCACAATAAAACGTTGATCTTTGTTGTAAAATTTGAGAAGTTTAAATCTATCTGCTTTAAGTCTTTACTTTTTTTTGTTGTTGTTTCAGATAGTTTTACAGCAAAACAATGAAAAGGAATCTGATGTTTCTTTAACATCGAGCCCAAACACAGTAAATATACGATATATAAATAAATATGGACCCAAAATGGAGCCTTGAGGGACTCCAGACGTAAATGTGTGAAAGGAAATAAAGGAGAAGGAGGGAACAATCTGGGATGAACCAGGACAGGCGGACGTGTAGTAAATAATAAAGTAATAATATTAATAATAAAGTAACTGATATATATACAGTTGAATTATCCTGTCAGGATCAGATGCAATGAAAATGACACATCAGCATCAGAGCTCAGCTTAGAAAAGTAGTCAAATTATAAGGAACAATCAGAGACAAAAGGCATCAGAATCACAAAATAAAGAACTTTTACTGAAGACAATGAATGTATGTATAAATGATTCCAACTGACAGCAGACAAAGACGATCAAAATGTCGTTTTAACAGCTTACCATGAATCAGAATCGTCATTTTATTTGAAAAAATTAAAGAAAATGACACTGTTCGGAGCCTTCCAGCTGCAAAATTTAGCTAATAAGGATTCTGAATTACTTTTTGACTAATAGAGGTACATGTATATATATATATATATATGGATATGTTGGGATATATTTTCATATTTGGTGAGATCACACACTTTATGTTCAAATCTGTGTTTGTATGAATGTTTTTACACATTCGAGAGGGAAGTTACAGTGAAATATCTAAAAATGAGCCGATGTCGCACCGAGAAGCTTTGAACAAACAAATCCGACTTACAGAAACTAAAGGTGACTTTGAGCAGCAGAGGACAGAGGGATGATCATCAGGGAGGAGAAGCTTCAGTGCCTCCTGCTGGTCAAAGTGGGAGTTTCACAATAAAAGCTCAGAACACGTTTCATGTTCAAGGACAACTGGCTGCAAAACGATCACAGAAAAGTTAAACATGCGATAAGACGAGTTCCTGCTGAGACACGAAACTGTTCATTCAAAGCTATTGTTTGTGTCAAATGGAAATTTGACCTTGACTCAGGTTTAGATACACAACAGGCATCAACAGGACAAATAAATTATAAGGAAAATAAAATACAATCATGGAAAAAAATCTGAAAAAAATACCCCAAAACATACAAAAATAAAAAGACTTTTCAACTTCATTAAAATCTATTTCCAAGCCTTAATTTTGCACTTTTTGTTTCAAAAATACAGAGAAAAATGCAAAATTAAAAAGGAAAAAAAGTCACTAACTGAATTTAATGTAGAATTAATTAACAATAATTGAATAAGAATTTAAGTTTTGTCTGATAAACAAAAAAGAAAACTATTTGAGAAAACAATACATTTGCCAAAATAATTCTTTGTGTCAAAAAATTCCATTTAAAAAAAAAAGAAACTCTAACATTTATATAAACCTACAGGGTTTTTAATTTTTATTTATTTATATATTTATTTACATTAGATGTGTAAGTTTAGTCCCTTTTTGTAAATGCATTGACTTTTTTGTGTTTTTAGAAAAATAAAAATGCAACATTAAAAAGGAAGTAATTATCACTAATTGCATTTTAATTTAGAAATATATTTACAATGATTGAATCAGAATTAATTTTTTTTCTATTAAATGAAAAGGAAATATTTATGAAATACAATTAATTTAATTTCATTTTTTCAATTAAATTTAATTAAAAAGCATTTTTTTTAATGTAATTTGTTCCAAGAAAAAGTAAATTTTCTTTAAAAAAAAAATTCTAAATCTGACATTTATGGTTTGAGTTACAGGTTTTTAGTGTTGTTTTACATTAGATGTCTTTTTTTTTTGGTAGTTTTTTGATTTTTTTTCATGCACGTTAAAAACTTTGTCAAATGAAAAAGAAAATGTGTTAAAATGTCAGATTTTTTCTCTCATAGTGAATATTAAACATCCCTGTTGTGGTGTTTGTAGTTTATACTGACGCTGGTACTGAAGGACACACTGTAAACATCCTGACTGGGATATAAATACAGCTGACAGACGGCCCACATGCAGCATGAATGAAGCCCACAGGTGAAAGACTCACATGATGACGAACAGCTGATCTCAGCGTACGTCTGAGGAAACACTCACACGGCCGACAGCAGCTGATCGACGTCTGACCGTAAACCTGAGGACACACAGTGACGTATTGACGTTTCCTTCCTGGTGACGTGATGGAATCCTTCAGACTGAACTGAACAACGTAAACCTCATTCCAACCTTTAGAGTTCAAGTATTAAATGAAGACTT